TTGAAAAACTTATCCTAATAACTTACTCCAGTGTTTTGTCCTTCTTGGGTTATCTTTTCTTTCTATCTAGTCAAAAATCATCCCTGCTGAGAGTTAGGACACAGTGTTAGATACAACCAAACAAAGAAAAAGAAATATTGAAATTGGGCACCATTTGTAATACTTACAACCTAGTATCTTGTGCTTACAATTGAGGTATTTTGCACAATTATTTTAATAATTAAGATAGAGAAGTTAGGATGTATATTTGTCATCATTTTAGTCCTCACTGCTTAGGTTAAAGAAGAAGAAACTCTCCCTATATTTGATAACTCCCCTAGTATTCTGAGCTCTTCTTCGTTTCAATTGTCAATTATAAGTGCAGTTCTCTTAAATTTAGGCACAAGTCTTTAATAGGGCTTGATGAATATAAACTATGTTAGAAAATTTCTATTAACTTCAGGTGGACTTCTTTTCTATTCTATTCAAATGGTTTACATTATTTTTTGGAGATGGAAAACAAATGTGTCTTAAATAAATAAAAAAGAAATATTATTTCTAGAACTTTTTCTTTCCTTTTTTTTGTACTTCCCGGAGCTTTGAGATGAATCCTGTCCACGTTGTTTAGTGATGCAGCTATAAAGGTGGCCTCACAAAACAAACAAGCAAATAAGCAAAAGATAATTTTGCTGTTTTTTTAATTTTCTCTCTCTCTCTCACACACACACACACAGTATACATAATGTATAGAATGAAATGATCATCCCAATCAACCATAATTTGGCTTTATTGTTGATTTCCTGCCTGGGGGGAGATTGGGGCTTAGTCTTGGAGTATTAAGAATGAAGTGAGAAATGTTTTTTGTTTGTTTTTTTGTACAGATAATTCTGTCTTGTGGAATAAGGCTGAAAATCATGTACTTGAATTTCTGAAAATTTAATTTTGTTGTTTAACTATAAAACTGTACTTGGAATTTTGAATTTTGATCCTTTCCTGGGCTAGCAGTTTGAAGTATGATCCTCTCTCATGATGCTGGCCAATAGCAGTGAGCTTCGGCTCCCAGTCAGCCATGTGATCATGAGGGTAAAAAATCAATACATGTACAACCATTCTGTACCCATAGACCTATTCTGATTTTCACTCTCAGTACAGTATTCAATAAATTACATGCGATATTCAACACTTTATTATAAAATAGGCTTTGTGTTAGAGGATTTTGCCTGATTTGTAGGTTAATATAAGTGTTCGAGTGGGTTTAGTGTGGTCTAGGCTAAGCTATTGATATTCCACAGATTAGGTGTATTAAATGCATTTTTGACTTACTTTATTTTCAGCTACAATGGGCTTCTCAGGACATAACCCTGTCATAAGTGAGGAAGATCTCTATCATTATTGTGAAAAGAAATACATTACACATGTTATTAGAAAAGTGCTTAGCACATTATAAATGCTCAAAAGTGAGAATAATCATCATATTTAGGTATAGTTACCATTATTATTGATTTTCAAAAAATATATAGCTATTTCCTATTTATTAAATATATTCTGTGTTCTATTTGACCACCTAGAGATTAGATACTCTTATTAGATTATAAAAAATATTCCAAAGATTTTTAAAACACAGTAGAAATATAAAATATACTAGTGCTGGATATAAAGATAAGTATTATGTATTGTACACATTATTTGCTAGAAAAATATGTTCCCCCTTCAAGGAGTCCTTCTCTGTTTAAAATACTATGTCTATTCATTTACCCAGCTTTGTTTCTCTTCATACCATTTACAACTACCTGAAATGCTTTGTTTCTCTTCATACCATTTACAACTACCTGAAATGATATTTAATTTGCTTTTACTCAGTACCTTCCTCAATTAAATTGTAAGCTCAAGGTACATAGAGACTGTCATTTTAAAAGATGTAATGTCAACAAATTTACAATGAATAGTAACTGAGTCCTGGAGATCTAATGCACACAGTTTGATGACTATAGACAACAATATTGAATTATAATCATCAGCTTGTTAAGAGACTAGATCATAATTATTCCAGCCACTAAAAATAAATGATAATTATGTGACATGATAGATGTGCTAATTATTGCTACAATGGCAATCATATTACAATATAAAAATGTATCAAATTAACATATGTACACCTTAAATTTACACAATGTTATATGTCAAATGTATTTCAATAAAAAATAAGAACTCACAGGTGGTAGATGCTTAATTAATGTTAGGTGTGTGTCAAATATTGAATTAATTGAGGGATTACTTTTAAAAGAATACACTAGCTAGGATATTGATTTGATTCTGGGACATATTTTCCCGGAATGCAAAGAGACAGCTTTTCTCTGTTATCAATTTGTGCAAGCTTTATAAAATTACTTAATTTCTCTGCCCTGGTTTTCTCATATTTAACAGGAGGACTTAAGTGTATGATTGTGTTTATTCTCTAAGAGAATATCTTTCTAAAATGGGGTTATACGAAAACCAGAAAGCTGAAAACCTAAATCCTAATCCCACCTTTGCCTCGTACTAAACCCAGTTTTTCCAAGTGTAAAAAGAGGTTTATTAGACCTATTCAACTGGATTGTAAAAGCACATAAACACAATGCCTACTCTCTGTATAGTTTCCATATGTTTTTTCATTTGTTTCCTTTAAGATACTTTCCGGTTCCAATAATTAATAATTTAATTATATAATTCTAGCACTAAGGTAAGCGTGAGTAAACTGGGCACTATCAAATCACAGCATTTTGGAAGCTTTAAACTCCTCTGTTAGAGCACTCAAGACCCCACAGGCTAGATTATAATCTCAAATAATGAAAATGCCAAACATATAGATCTATTTCAGTGCAATGCTCATTACAGCTTCTTAAAATCAAACTTGTTAGTGGTGTGCATCTCTGAAGACAGCTGATCCAAAGTCTGAGCCTGGCTTTTAAGACTGACTAACTCAGAACGACTAGACGAAGATAGCGTTGGATGACACTGGCTGGTCACAGATGACTAGTGAGCTGTCTTTGACTTCGCAGTGAGGTGCAGTGAGAGGTGTATTAGAGCCGTAATTGGTATCGAATATATCCAGGACATTATGCAATAATAAAGCAGTGAAAAGGTCTTCTCTCTGAATGTAATATTAGCTTCTGCCTAAAATCAGAAAATACACACATGTGGATTTCAGCATACTGACAATGACATGACAGAAGTTGGTTAAGTTTGTGCTAAGGCAGCTCCTGGCCTGACTCTAAATTTAGTCATCTCTGACTGAGATACTGCTGATGAAACTCGCAACTTAGTTCGCATAGTCATCCCAATATTATCTCAAGGCAGCTTCTAAATAGATATTTAAACCAATATTCACCAACATGAGCTTTCTTGTTCAACTTCCCTATTGGCACCCACTTATAATTGTGATAACATGGCTAAAATTAATTCTAAGTTGGGCGCCTGGGTGGCTCAGTCGTTAAGCGTCTGCCTTCGGCTCAGGTCATGATCCCAGGACCCTGGGATCGAGCCCCACACTGGGCTCCCTGCTCAGCTGGAAGCCTGCTTCTCCCTCTCCCACTCCCCCTGCTTGTGTTCCCTCTCTCGCTGTGTCTCTCTCTGTCAAATAAATAAATAAAATCTTTAAAAAAAAATAATTCTAAGTTCATGTGTGCCTACTGCTAAAACAAACACACACTCTTATTTTAATAATACACTCCATACTGGAATTAGAGACAAAGTTGAAAAAATCAAATACGTTTCAGTAAACTAAATTTAGTGTAAGGTTCCGAAGGGACAACATACAGGAGTGTACCGTCCTCTTTTCTACGCCACAAGAATGTCTCTTATCCTGTATACATTAGTTCAATTAAGGGTTCAAGTTTCCTTGCTATTCAATATAAAGTATTCCTCTGACCTACTAAAGTGTTACAGTTGATAATATTGACAAGGATTTTTTTTTTCTCTTCACTTCTGGGCACATGGTTACATCCTCTGGCCCCTTAGTATTAGATGTGACCATATAACTTGCTTTGGTAATGAAATGCAAGCACAAGTGATGTGTTTCACTTTTAGATTAAATCTCTAAGAGCCAGAGTACCGTTCATCATACACTTTCTTTCCTGCTCTTTTTAAAATCTGTCTATAGTGACAGATTAGTTTTCATATTATAGATGCTAATATAAATAAAATCATATGGCATGAACTCTTTTGTCTAGCTTCTTTAATTCTGCATATTTTGATATCCATACATTTTGTTGAATATCTCAATAGTAAATTTTTTGTTTAGTAGAATTAATGTGGTATAGACATAGCACCTTATGTTTACCCATTCACCTGTTGATTGACATTGACATTAGGTCGTCTCTATTTTGGTCTATTAGAAATAAATCTTTTATGAACTTTTACATACACGTCTTTGCATGGGCACATGCTTTCATTTGTCTTGAGTAAAAGCTTAAGAAACTGTTGTTCTATTTTCCAAAGTGGTTGTACTACTTCTCATTGCAGCCAACAGTGTATGAGGGTTTCAATTCTTCCATATCCTCACTAAAAATCATACTGTGTTTAATTTGCCCTTCCCTAATTATTAGTAATGGTGAACATATTAATGTGTTTGCCTTCTGCGTATCTTCTCTGATGAAGTTTCTGTCCAAATTTTTCCCCTATTTTTTATGTCAGTTGTTTTCTTATTATCTAATTTGAGAGTCCCCTAGACATTCTGGATGCAGTTTATCTGATACAAGATATGCAAATATTGTATTCTAGCAAATATTGTCTTTTCTTTCTCATAACTGTGATTTTTTAAGAGCTGGAACTTTTTTTTTAATTTTGAAGATGTTCAATTTATCAATTTTTTTAATGAATCATGCTTTTGGTGATGTATCTAAGAAATTTTTGTTGCTAAGCCCAAGGTAACAAGATTTTAGTCTATTTTTTTCCTAGCTTTTTGCACAGGGTTACGATCCTTTGAGTCAACACTTGTTTACCGTCCAAGGCATATATCAATTTCTTTTTTTTTTGGCACATAGATATCTAGTGTTTCTCCAGTATCATGCCTTTGAACCTTTGTGAAAAATGAGTTGGCCCTTTTCCTGCACACCTTCCTTCAGCAGTGGCGGATTGTGCAGACATGACCAAGATGAAGGCTCGAGATCTTCTCAGCAAGAAGAAGGAGGAGCTACCTCACCAGCTGGAAGAGCTGAAGGGGGAGCTGCCCCAGCTTGTGTCCCCGAAGGGACAGGTGGCGTGGCTTCCAAGCTCTCCAAGATCCAAGTTGTTGGCAAATCCATGCCCGTGTTCTCACAGTCATCAACCAGACGCAGAAAGAGAACCTCAGGAAATTCTACCAGGGTAAGGAGTACAAGCCCCTGGATCTGCGGCCCAAGGACACACGTGCCATGTGCCGCCGGCTGAACAAGCACGAGGAAAACCTGAAGACCAAGAAGCAGCAGCAAGTGCGGGGTCAGGGCCTGAGCATCAGCATCAATAGAACACAAACAAACTTGGGAAAAATAAATACATAAAAATAAACAAACAAACAAATAAATAATGAGTTGTCCTTATATGTGTCAATCTGTTTCTTGACTCTATATGCTATCCCATTGATCTGTTTGTCTATCTTTATGAAAATACCACATGGTCTTGATTACAGTAGCCTTAGAATATGCTTTTAAAACATAAATCCTGCAACTTTGCTCTTATTTTCAAGGTTTTTTTTTGAATAGTCTCAGCTTTTTAAATGTTCATATAAATTTTAAGAATCAGCTTGTTAATTTCTAAAAAAAAAAATGCCCAGTGGAACCCGTATTGGAATTGTATTAAATCCACAGATCAATGTGGGAAGGATTGACATCCTAAATATACAGTCTTCCTACATATTAACTCAGTATTATCTCTCCACTTATTTTTGTCTATTATTTTGATATATTTATTATTGAAGTTTAATTTGAGGACTCTACATATTTTCATTCTCTACTTTTAGAACATAAGAAGTAAAATTATAACTGTTGTAAAGTACTTTTCCTTTACTTCTAATCATGGCGTCATTTTTGGGGTGCTTTTACTAATTGATTTTTTTCCTTATTATGGACCATATTTCCTTGTTTATTTGCATGCCTGTTAATTTTTAAAATTTGTGCCAGACATTGTAAATTTTATATCATCGTATGTTGGATATTTTCTTATTTCTATAAATGTTCTGTATCTTTGTTTTGGGATTCAGTTGAGTTACTTAGACATATTGTTCCTTTCAGGTCTTGATTTTATGATTGGTTGCTGCAGAGCAGTTCCCAGGAAGCTAATTATCTCCCATCAATGAAATATGACTTTCCCGAGTTTTCCATGTATTGCCTCATGAATTATGACTTTTCCATCTTACTGGTGGGAACACACACTATTCCTGGCCCTAGCAAATACCAGACGCTTTACTCTCTCATCCTTTTGGATAGGTCTTTGCCCGGCCCCAGGTCATTTTCTCATGTGTGTACACTGATCAGTATTCTGCTGGCCATTTGTGGGGCCTTCTATAGCTCTCTGGCATTTTCTCTGTATGCAGCTTTCTTCCCTGCAGTACTTGGGCTGTGAACTTTAACGGCTTAAGTCTCTAGGAACTTTCAGATCCATCTCCTCAACTCTTGGAGTCTGGCAGGCTCCTCTGCACAGTTTGTGAGAAAACTCTCTCAAATGTAAAAATGATACTGTCATTTCCTTCATCTGAAATCTACTTTATATGGCTTGGCATAACTTACAGGAGTCCTCATGATTAGATTCTTGCCTACTCCTTCAATCTTACACTGTTAGACTCTGACACATAGAGCAAAGAATCCTAAGCACTGCTCATAACAAAATCTCCCAAGTGGATTTTTATGTAATTTGTTATTTTTATATATTTTTAGACGTACAGAAAAGTTTCAAGAAATATAGAGATTTCCCATAATCCTTTCACCAAATTTCCCTAATGTTAACATTTTATATAACCATACTATAATCATCAATACCAGAAAATTGACATTGTCACAATACTACAAACTAAGCTAAAATTTTATTCAGATTTTATCACCCTTTCCACTAATGCCCTTTTTTTTTTTTCTTCTGTTCTAGAATCCCATATTGCATTTACTTATTATTTCTCCTTGGTTTTATTTAAGTATTTTTATAGTTGCCAGATCTTAACTTTTTTTCATGACCTTGACACTTTTGAAAAGTACTGGTCAGTTATTTGGAGAACTTTTCCTAATTTGATTTTGGTTGATGTTTTTCCCATTTTTAAAATGAAGTTGTGCATTTTGGAAAAGAATGCTATAAAAATTATAGTACGCTTTTTTTAGTGGCTTAGGTCAGAATCTTCCTGATGTCAAAATATCTTAAGAGTGGTGATCACTTGTTCATGTTGGTATCGGCCAGGTTTATCCTTTTTAAGGTTACTCTGTTTCCCTTTGTAATTAATACAAATCTTGGGGTAGATACTTTGAAACTCATCAAATATCCCATTTCTCCTCAAACTTCCACAACCCTCTGCACTTCTTGTCTGCAACAATTGTTGCTGTGGTATTTGCCTAATGTTTGGCTTCCTCTTTTCCTCTTACCTTTTAAATTTTTAAATTGGAATTATTCTGGGAAAAAGTACTCTTCCTTCTCCCCCATTTATTTATTAATTAAACATTGATTTATATCAATATGAACTGATGCATATTGAATTCTATGGACTATAATTCAACACTATCATTATTTTATAGTTCAAATCATTAGGCCAGCAGGTTCTACTTTAGGTGGATTCCTGTATTCTTTTGTCAGCCTTCCATCCTTCTATGAAAGCTTTCTTACTTTCTAGCACCCCAAATATCTGTATCTATATTTAATTTATTTATTTAAAGATTTATTTATTTATTTGAGAGAGAGAGCAGGGGAAGAGTCAGAGGGAGAGACAATCTTCAAGCTGATTCCCTGCTGAGCCCCAAGCCCTATGTGGGGCTTGATCCCAGGACCCTGAGGTCATGACCTCAGCCAAAATCAAGAATCTGCCGCTTAACTGATTGAGCCACTCAGGCACCCCTAATATCTGTATCTATATTTAATCTATCAATCAACCATCTATCTAATCTCTTGCCATGTATTTATACTGACACTTCTAATTCCATCATTTGAGCTTTCTCCTTTAAAAAAAAAAGATTTTATTTATTTTTGCATGAGAGAGAGAGAAAGAGAATGCATGAGCGGGGGGTGAGTGGTGGGGGGACAGAGGGAGAAGCAGGCTCCCCACTGAGCAGGGAGTCAGACGCTGGACTTGATCTCAGGACCCTGGGACCATGACCTGAGCTGACTGAGCCATCCAGGTGACCCTCCTTTTCTTATTTACAACTTCTTTCTTAGGCAGTTATGTTATCAGCTCTTTTTATCAGTATTTGTATCTATATATTCATGTAATGCCAGTATATAAATAATATCAGAAATACTTATCCATTCCCTGGGTGTCTATTTTAATAATATTATTATATAGATTACAGTATTTATTCATAGTTTCTTTACCTTTAAAAAGTTTCTGAAGTTATATGTTGCTTTCCCCATTCCCTTTTATATAGTTATGTTATTGATTTGTAGTTCAGTTAGGTTAACTTTTTACTCTTGTATTCTGTTTTGGGATTCTCACCGCATGCTGGTAGGTTTTAATTCTGGGTTAAGAGTCGGAGATATATAAAGGATCTATTCACTGAAATGTCATCGCCTCCTCATCCCTACTAACTATTCCCATTCTTTTCCTCTTTCCACCCCTTTCCACCCACTCCTTGCAGGTAATCAGTATCTTTTTGAAACATTTTCCATTTCACCTCTTTCTTATCATGTTTTGTAATTATTTTTAAAATTTACTGGGCCTAGAGCCATGCTAAGGATTTTATATCACATTGTTTGATCTTCACAAAAACCCTATGAAATAGTTAATATTCATATCTCAACTTTATAGGAAACAAAGCTTCAAGTGTAAATTGTCAGGGGCTAGCTACACAGGTATGTAAATGGCTGAGCCAAGGTTTATTCGATTCAGATCTGTGTGATTCAGATCTCTCAAGTCTTTTTCAAGACCCCAAGGTATGTTTACATTGAGGCTTTCAATGACCTCCCAGAGCAGCCAGCTATCCCTCATCTTCCTTCCCTTCAGCTTTCACAGAATCCTGCTCCTACTATTCATAAAATATTTCTGCCATTTACTATTTTTATTTAAGTGGCCACAGTTCTGCCACGTACTATTTTTATGATCATGTATATTAGTTAACTTCTATGAATCTCCATTTTAATCTGTTATAATAAATTCTTCACATGGTTGTTTTGAATAATGAATTAATATTTTTAAACACTTATATCTCATATAGAACATAAAATCTAATAATTGCAAAGTATTTAAAACTAAGCCCAAGTCCTATTAATTAGTATTTAGTTAAAAATATATATTTTTGTTTCCAATTTCTCCTTTTTCTTTCAACTAGACTATGTGGAATTTGCGGATCATTCAATTATCTCTGCTGCCTAAAATTTGCCTAAGAAACAGAGCAGTACTCAGTATGTGTTTGAGAAGAAGTGACTACATAAAAAATCAAGGTCTAGGGTGCCTGAGTGGCTCAGTTGGTTAAGCGACTGCCTTCGGCTCAGGTCATGATCCTGGAGTCCTAGGATCGAGCCCCACATCGGGCTCCCTGCTTCTCCCTCTGACCCTCTTCCCTCTCATGCTATCTCTCATTCTCTCTGACTCAAATAAATAAATAAAATCTTAAAAAAAAAATCAAGGTCTACCTATAGCACTCCAAAAGTTTAAAAAAAGATTAAATATAATTGTTAATGTACCAATTATTTGAAATTCAAATTTAAAATGAATATGGAATTAAATATCTGCATTAATATATAAATATTTCTTGGGAAAATAGCATCCTTTTTTTGAAGATTGGGTGCAGTATAAAGTAAATTTCAGTAACAAAACAACTTTTCTAGAGCAACGTGCATTTTTTTCCTCCTAAATTTAGAAAAAGAGCCTTTTGGATAAAGATCTGGAGGTGAATCATTACACACAGCAGGCTCCCTTTCCTCTGGCATCAATCAACCAATAAAGCTCTTTGGTGTTGGGATTCCCAGGGACAGCCACAGACTAGGCGCGCTTCTCAAAACTGGTTCCTGAAGACACTCTGGAATTCAAGCTCTGAAATAAAGGGAGTAAAAACATCTCTCTTCACCAGAATTCTTGATTTTGTAAGGAATCATTACTATGTAGGTATTTGAACTGTTGACACAAATCAAAATGTTACCTTCCACGGGTTGTTTTAGAACTTTTACCTCCCTGTACAGGGGAGGGGGCCAAAGACAAAAGGAACCTTTCTACATGTTTAATGTTATTACGGGATAGTGACATGAAATGACACTTAAGTAGATTTAATGTACCCTGGGTCTATCCATTTATTTATCATTTTGCAGGAGTAAAAGAACCTATAGTTTAATTGTCAATGATAAGTTGCTTCATTTTTTTCTCCTCTTTTAATTTTTCTTTTAAATCAAACATATTAGGCCACTAGAGTAGTTATAAGT